AGAATGGACCCTATCGTTAATTACGACGACGATCATCACTCTGAGAATGAGAGCGTGCAACAGAATGACCACCAAAATATGAACATGAACCGGAATGTCCCACACCAAGAGCCGCCAAATGGAGGGCCGGTTGGGGTTCCCCAGATCGACCCTGCGATGATGATGCAGCTCCTACAGCAAGTTCTGATCATGAATCAGAATGCCTTGACGCACATTCGACCACGAGAACCGAGGATCACACTCGAGAAACTGAAGAAAAATGGCGCTGAAGAATTCCTAGGCGAGAACATCGCCGACCCGTTAATTGCGTTTAGATGGATAGAGCGTGTACGACGTGTATTTGAGAATCTGAAGGTCCCAGTTGGCGAGTGGGCCGATTTCGCGGTCATGCTTCTGCAGAATAATGCATACGAGTGGTGGAAGCGCACTACTCGAAATTCGAATCATCCCGCAAAAGTGACGTGGGTGTACTTCGAACAAGTGTTCAAAGAGGAGTATATTCCCGAGTCGTTTGTGGAAGAGAAACGAGAAGAGTTTCTACATCTGGAGATGGGTACGATGAGTCTTCCTGAGTATCGTCAGTTGTTCGATCATCTCGCTTAGTTTGGCCAGGATTTGGTGAACACCACCAAACGTCGTTGCGATAAGTTTGTGAATGGCATGCGCCCGAAACTTCAGAAGCACATGTCTACTGCATCTAGGCAAGATTTTGGAGTCATGTACGAGCAAGCAAAAGAGGTTGTTAGAACAAAGGAAGGATTGAAGCTGAACACTGAGCAAAAGCCAACTAAGACCTCCACACAAGCACCTGGCACCAGCAAGGTCTTTCATGAGAAAAGGTCTCAGAGCGAATCTGAAATCCAAACATCAAAGAAAGCCAAATCGATGCCTACTCAATCCGTTGCCTTGACTAGCAAAGGGAAACAACCTAGGCATCCCTTGTGTACCCATTGCAATCACTATCATCCAGGAGAGTGCTGGTGGATGCTAGGACTGTGTATGGGATGCGGACAAGCTGACCATCAAAGGAAGAACTGCCTTACAAATCCGGGTCCTGCATTTTCTACCACCCATGCCCCGAACCAGTCACAAATAGCAGGTCCAGCTCAGAGTCAACGTACGACAGCAGGATCTCATGTGCAACGACCTTAGCAGCAACGACCGCCGCAAGCTGCGACACAACATGCTAGAGCTCCCGCTAGGACATATGCTATGCGTGGGCAAATCGATCCTAATCCAGATGGAGACCACGGTACGTTCCTATATGCATCGTAGGTATACATAGCATTATATGATCCTAACTTGGCTACGTATTGAGAACGTACTTTCCTAATTAATTACTCGTATGGTTGCGAAAGGAGTGATAACGATTTCCCTACGATCCAAGGAATCCGTGTGAATTCAATATCTTCATCTTTTTCAGCAATTACGATGCAAAGGAATTTCGGGGACGAAATTCTTTAAGGGGGAGAGAAATGTAACGCCTTGAAAACCGACTTAGTAGTTAGCCGTTATTTTAATAAAAAAAATAAATAGATTATTTACTTTCTTTAAAATATGAAATATTTGTAAAGTTGACCATTTTAATTAAAAATTAGGTTTTCGGGTAGATCTCGTAAAATGGTGACCAACGGTATATAATTTGTTAAATTTGGCCTTTCGTATACACCGCGATAAACAAAATAGACATTACAGTTTGATAAATAAATATAAAGATTTTATAATATTAAATATTAATAATAATTAAGTTAATCTACTCCTACCCGTAAGCGGAAACCCCTCCCCCTTCCCCCTTAATATATACAGACGCACACAAGGGGAAAAGAAAAAGAAACGGAAAGAAGAAAAAGAACGAGGACAACGGATAGCCGCAGCCGTGCTCTGTCACCGTGCCGCCGCCTGCTCACCAGAGATTTTTGCCAAATTGTTTAATTTTAATACGTCAAACTATTGAGGTGAGTGATTTATCTCTCGTTAGAATTGATTCGTAGTTTAGGGTTCATTGATATAATTTCGTGCAATTGATGTTGAATTGGTGGATTGAATTGTTGAATCTGTTGATTGAATTGGATGGGGAATTTGGATGGTTGCTCTGAACACAGTAATTTGTTCTATTCGTCTCTGTTGTTCTTTTCTTCTGTTCATTGTCTTCCTGCTCTGTTTATTTCTCGCTGCTTCTCTGTTCTCTTGGATTGCCGCTATGTACGTTGTTCGCTGCCCTAGGGTGATGTTGGCTCTGGGGTTGCCGAATGCGCCGTTGCACTACCGTGATGCTGCCGGAATCTTGCCGCCATAGCTACTGATGTTGAGGATGACGCCGCTGCTTTTAATGAGTCTCCTCCATGGTTGCAACGACCTGGGGGATTACTCTCTTAAAATTGTATGCTTAATTGACTATTAAATTGACACTTTATTGGGGGCAGTGCTTCAGAAGTTTCGCCGCGG